CTCCGCGGCAGGAGGCCGTAGGATGCAATAATGGGTGTCTGCAGCCATCTGTCCCGTCTCGTGAAGCATTCCGTGGGTCAGCTGCCAGGGCTGTCTCTGGGCTGTGCTCCGGGAAGGTGAGACCGGCTCCAAGCGACGAGTGCTGATCACTACCCAACTATGCAGAGAAAGCTCTGTCTGGAAGGAAGGAACGCTGCAGAGGCCCTTCTGCCTCCCCTTTCCAGCAGGTGCACAAGTACAATGCACTTTTCACACTTGGTGTCCCGCCCCTGTCCCCACCCCACACTTGAAGTCACTTTTCCCCGTAGAGAATTAACAATCCTTGTCACTTAGAAAATATTGTAGAAGAAACTACAGCAGCTCGCGTGGCCCAAGTGCTAGTTCATGCCCGCAGCAGTGCACGTGCCTTTCCCCAGCGTCACTCACAACTGCTCGTTGTCTTTCAGGCTGTCCTAGGGCCTGACACTTTGCAGAAGCTGCTCAGATGGCTACGAGTGCACGTTCTGTACAGAGTTTGGCCCAGGACGTGTTCCGTGTGTGGCTTAAAATGCTGATGGTCAGGGCCCTTCCGCGGTGCTTGCGTCTGGCCGTGGAGGACAGGACTCGTCCCTCGCGTCCTTCCAGGCTGCTGCCGCCCCGGCATGCGCGCGGTCTGGTCGTGTTCCGCGCCCGCGGCACCTTGGCGCCAGGGAGGGTCTGCCCGCAGAGCAGGGACAGGCCTGTGGTACGGGGGAACCGGCCGGGCTGCCTGAGGCAGGGAGGTGTTTGTAGATAAGTGCTGATCCCTCGACTCTAACCCCAGTTATGTAATGGCTGTATTAACATGTAACCGACCGCAGTGTATCTAAAGCCTTAGAACTAGTCAGGTGCTCCCCCCGACCTTGTTCCTGCCCCTTTTGTCCTACCTGATCTTTAACAAAGCATTAATAATTCTAAGGATAATCTCTATTTTGTTGTGCTTTTTTTGTAACTGTTTTAAATAAATCAATTTGTACTGTATATTTGTACTTTTGGTGAGATCCTTTTTCCTGTTTTACCATTTTAAGTCTGTACTTGGCTACACACAGATTGTATTTTTATTGTTAATGCTCTTATGAATATTGCATTTAACTTGTTGACTCTGTAAACACAGTATATATCTATATATATATCTATATATAAACCAATAGCTTTTCGTTTGGTGTTTGAGACTTTTTGCTAGTCTGTAGCATCATTGATCATTAGGAGGTGGCATCTCTGGTCTTTAATGGCATGATCTGGAGACCTGTCAGACAGGCAAGGTAGAGGCTGTCTGACGGACGGATCACGAGCCGTTACTGGGTGTTCAAACGCTTTTGCTTTTACGGGGTCTCTTTGCTGAGCCCCTTGGAATAACGATCAAGCACCAGTGACGCTGCAGGAAAGCTTCAGGTGCCGTTTGCAGCGTGAAGCCACATATCTGCTGGCCGAGCAGGACACACACGACAGAGACCCGCACATACTGCGAGAAGCAAACTGTCGGTGCGAGTGTGAAAATGAACAGAGGTAAGAACAGAAGTGAGAGATCGGTTCAGAGAGCAGAGGAGGATACAGAAGGTAGCGTGGAACTGAACAGACCCTTTCCAGCCCTGGTGCCTTTCCCCAGAGTGGGGGGCAAGGATGGCTCGTGGATGTCAGTTCTGTGCAATGAATGACGTGTCAAACAGCGTCTGTGAGGCGAGGAAACGATGTTACAGTGGCTTGTGGAGGAAATGGTAGTATAGAAAAGATTAAATGCTTTTTGCTGCAAGCCTCCACAAGACTGTAAAGTTAGGGCATGATAAAGAAAAAGTGCAACAGTACGCACTTGTAGGCAACGACTGAAAGCATTAAATAGGGCGTTAAGGGACTTAGTCACAAGTTTTTCAAACTGAAAAGAGGGGAAAATCAGGTTTCTAAGTAGTCTGTCCGAAAGGTTTTGCTTCTTGTTTTAACTTTTCTGATCTCAAGTAGGAGTCTAGTGGTCACCATTTCTGACTTCACGCAGAGAAACAGCAGCCGGAGAGACGACAGCTCCCAGCGTATTTACCCACCATGTAACGGCACTGCAGTCCTGAAAGGGAAATGCTGTAAGAGCAGCGGGGGTCTCCAGGCTGCACAACACATGTGTGCCACACCAGTGTTTGGGGGGTGACATCTGGAAACCACAAAGCCACAGTTTGCATTTTTAGATGCTTGTTCTTAAGGAAAGCAAATACCGGAGGGCGTACCCCCCCTTTGCCCCCCTGTGAGTCCTCCTGTGCTCATGTTTTGCCTTTCCCAGCTTAAACATGCCTAGATTTAGTTTCCATGGTTGCATAGCTAGTTTCATCATGATTTCTGTTAGTGATGGGAGCCTTTCCATACAGGTACAGACTATGATCACATTTTGCCCTAGCTACCTCTTGAATGAACTAAAGAAGGTTTAAATTCCCGACCTTCTGGCAGGTTTTTCCAGACTCCATTATTGTACCTTTCCACGGCTCCTCCCCAGCTCACCCCTTTTCCACATTCCTCTCGTTGGTTTTGCTGCTGAGTGCGGAAGCAAAAGCAACTTTCCTTTCTACTTGTGTGGTTCTGTTCACTAGCCGTCCCCTCCTCACCCCACGGCGTTATCTGCAGCGACCACTGAAAGTCACTGTCAGTCACAGAGGGATTTATGATGAGAGTGAATACCCTCAGTGAGCGTGAGCTGTGCTCTCAGATGCGCGGTGCTGCATTTGGCTGCATCAAAACGGTTGAACAAGCTCAGCTCCCTGTGAAGTCCCAGAGCCACAGCACGGCTGGGGTGGGAAGGGACCTCCAGAGCTCCTGCGGTCCCACCCCCCTGCTCAAGCAGGGCCACCTGCAGCCACCTGCCCCGGGCCGTGTCCAGGCGGCTTCTGAACATCTCCCAGGGGGGCAACTCCAGGCCCTCTCTGGGCAACCTCTGCCAATGCTCCGTCCCCCGCACAGGGAACAGTGTTTCCCAGTGCTCAGAGGGAACCCCCTGTGTTCCCGTTTGTGCCCAGTGCCTCTTGTCCTGCCTGCTCCAGGCCCTTGAACATCTCCGTGGCCCTTTGTTGGGCTCTCTGCAGGGTGTCGGTGGCAGCCCAGGACCGGACACAGCGCTCCAGGTGTGGCCTCACCAGCTGAATAAAGGGGAAAGCAAATCCATACAGCACTGGAGACCTGACCTACCCTCATTGTTTACCGTTCAATCAACTCTCTTACTTGCAAACCTGAAATGCTGCTGAAGTGAAAATTAACTTGTGAGTAAACCAGCAAAGTGTTTGCTGTTTGCTTACCTCCATCAGCCTTTCTGTGAGTGTTTATACAGGGCATCTCAGAACAGGAACTTGGTTTCCTCTTAGTTTTTCCATGGATGCTACTGTAAACAAGCACATAACGACAGCATTAAGAGAAAGGGTGCACGCAGCCACTTCCCGGGAGATGACATCCTCCTTTGCTTCCTCTTCACAGGCAGAAACTGCGAGGGGCTTACTCGTGGAGGAGTTGCGGACTATCGCAGTCCTCAGCTCCGTCATTCATGCTGCGATAAACAAAATCCCTTTCAGCGAGGTAGGCTTTCGCCTACAGCAGAACTGCAGGAGCCCAAACCCATCTGCAGGGCGAGGGTCCAAGAACGGGATGAAGGACAACAGGTAAAGAAGAGAACTAAATAAATGTGAACATTAATTTATTTTCCCTCTGTTCCCAGGCTGTGACTTGGCCCCGGAGCAGACCGCATCCTCAGCATCTGCTCCCACCAGGGCTGCCTGGGCAGACGTCTCTCAGCCCTGTTCT